TATACTCTCTAGCCCAGAGTTGACTGAAGCACTTACAAGCCTTTTTATCTGTATCCTTTGGCATTCACAGATTTCTCCATCATCCCAGAAAGGTAAGTTTAGTTACAAACCACACGATCAATGTCTCTTTTACTCAGATGAAAACAGTTTTATTCTTTATGCTCAAAACCAAATTCATTAACTTCAACTAGCAAAAATTCTTTGGTTTGCAGGACACTGTTATAACAGCACAATTGAAACTTAACAGACAGCCCTTAGTCTTGCTTCCTAAAATCACCCATTGAGAGCACCCTTCCTAAACTACTGAGAACTCAAAAGGTGCAAAGATGAAGATTTGAGCAGCAAAAACAACAAAAGAACCACCAAACAAGATTTCTGTATGATTACTGCCCTGTAAGCCATTTGATGGAAGCCCCTCCAACTTTGCTGATGTTAGACATTTTCAGCTGTTCTAAATACAAAAAAAAAAAAAAAAGTTGAAACTTAAATACATTTTGAAAAGTTTTATCTTAATATCTTTTTCAAACAGAATAGATCTTCTATACGAACTCATGTATTAACATGCCTCTATGCAGCCATTTACACTCTGCACCTCTGGGTTCTCATACAGTAATAAGTCTGCTTTGCCATAATTCCAAGGGACTTTACCAGTCTTTTCAAGTCACACCAGTGCACTTTTTAATAAGAAAAAAAGAGATACTTGTCTATACATCTTCAGCTCAAAACAGTTCTGTCAGTTTCTATCGTCATCTCTGATCTCCAATTTAGGTACAAGACAGAAAGACACTTCCTACAACCCCTCCATTTTCTTCATCGAAAAGTAATCCCTTTGCTTGGCATTCAACTCTACTTTTTAGCAGTTTCATGTTTAATCCTGTTGCAAAGAAGATAACAGATCTAACAAAGTGCTCGTCTTTTCTTCATATAATGAAATATAGATACCAAATAGGTAACAGAAAGCAAGTTTGCTTCATTTTCTTACAATTCAAATAAAGGGATTCCTCATTTAAATTCAAGACACACAATCTTTATGTTTTCATACTACTACCTCACTTGCAGTTCAGCTGCTTTCTTCACATTCCAATTGCAACTTATTTCCACAACAACTCAGAGTGAGTTTACATTTACATAACCAAAGTGAAAACTGGAAACGTACACATTTCAAGTGATGTGAACCTAGCTGCTGTTCAATATCCTAACAAAACATTTTGCCAAATAATGAAACTCTATTCTTTAGGCTACTTGAATTCTACTTGAGGCTCAGTCTTACAAAAGGACAGGAGGAAAGCCAACAACCCTGCCGGCAGCTCAACCGACCAATTTAACTAGCCTAAGATTAGAACTGATTGTTTAGGCAGGTTTTTGTTGTTTGTTTCAGTTGTGTTTTTTTCCCCACTGGAATACATTGTAACGTTTTTACTCATTTTCTCTTTTAAGTAACAGCTACAGCTTTGCTGACATTCTCTGCAAATGACAGGAAAAAGGAAGCATTTGTCATTGTAAATACTGTAAAGAGAAAACTTTTGTCTGCTCCCACGTACACCAAATGAAGTTTTTTGCTTGTTCATTGATTGCTCTATCCATTGTGTTTCACTGAAAAAAAAAAAAAAAAAAACAAAAAAAAAAACAACTGTGCCTCCTGTTCAAACAATGGGAAGCACCAGAGATCTCTTAAGAGACCCTTTCCTTGTAAGAGTGGATCATGTACAGTAGCAGACTTTGAAGAGCTCTTCCCAATATCAAACACCCATGAGAGATGCAAGAACATTTTCCAGCAGATGTCACAGCCCAGACTGAACCAGACAACCTCCACATGTGAATACAGAAATGAGAATGCCAGCTGCTGAATATGCTCTTAAGAGGTTTTTTGATAAGCATTTCACATGTCCTTCTACTGGTTTAAGATTTTTGGTTCTGTAAGACCAAGCTCAGTGCAACTTCCCTGTTATGAAAAGTTATCACTATCAGAAGTCATCACTGCACCACTTACAAGCTTATCAACTCTGTGTCATCCCTCTACCCACACATAAATGTGGAAGTTGACTATTAATACAGCTGGCAGGGTCTTCTAAAACTGCAAGATTAAGACACACACATCCATTTGTAACTACACTAGGCAGACCGTATGTCTACTATTGTAATCCATCATTTTGCTTTCAACAGGATTTTTCATGGGAACAACAAAGCTCAGCCCTTCTTCCACGATGAAACCCACCAACACCAGCATCTTGAGTCGAGAAGGAGTTTTGCACTCATTACTGTAATGTGAAACAGGTTGCTGAGGGAGCACCAGGCTCTTCAGAAAGGATGCAACCCCCTGTTCGGACCGTCTGTCCAAGCAAATGCAGCTCCGAATTCTGTTCCAGGGATACTTGCTGCAAATCACACCTCCTCCTTCACCCTCATTAAATCAAACGCATCCAACCGCAAGCACCAACCACAAGCAGCACTGATTATGCCATTTCCCACTTCCCTCACGGACTTCCCTTAAAAACCCAATTAACGCATCTTTTATCATTACTAGCAGCACTGCTATCGTTTCTAAGTTGGTTTTTTTTTTTTTTTTTTTTTCTACACACTGTATCGGCAATCCCCTACCATCTTTCTAGCGGTGAGTCTGCATTTTCCTTGCTCGCCGCTCCTTTTTAGGCATCCGAACGGAGCAAGTGCCCAGCCCTGCCCTGCCGCCCCACCCGGGAGCGATGGCCGGGGGTGCCCGGGGGAGCGCGGAGCCGAGCGAGGGCGAGAGGGAGGAGCCGCCGCTCGGGGGAGGGCAGCCGGCACCGGAGGGAGGATCAGTCGGCGCCACCGCCCCGGCTGCCGGCAGGGCTCCGTGCCTGCTGCCGGCGGTTCGTACGTCCCGGGCAGCCCTGCCTCCCCTCCGTCCCGACCGCCATTCCCTAGGGGACAATGTCTCTGTGCCGGGGACAGCCGCCCTCCCCGCCCGGTTGCGTGCTGAGAGTAAACACCGAGGGAGAAGGAGGCATCCATTTTTTTATTCCGACAGCCTGTCAACAGGCTCCCCCCCTTCCCCTCCAGAACCTCCGCACTGAGCCTGGCTTCCCAGTCCGGCAGCGCCCAAGAGCCGCTGGCGCCCGGCCCCCGCTGCTGCCCCTCCTCAGCTGAGGCAGGGACACCCCTGATCGTAGGGCTTCGAGTTTTGTCTTTTTCTTTCCCTTCTCGCTACGAAAAGCCGCTTTCAGCGCTGCCCTCTCCCACCCCGGCCTCGGCAACCACCCAGCAGCACGGTACCGGCGGAGCGCGACCAGAGGCGTGTTGCCTTTTATAGCGGTGTCATCCCCTCATCCCTGCACGCCCGCCTTCCAGGGGGCCCGGCCAGCGCTGCCTGCAGCCATGCGGCGCGCCGATCCCCTGCCCCACTCCCCCTCCCCGACCCTCCGGCATCGAGGGCCGCCCGCGTCCTGCTGTGGGACATTATCGAGGGCACCGAGTCTGCCCTGCACCAGCTGATGAATCTCGGCCCCCGTAATGCGCCCGTTATCGGGCAGGCATGGAAAGGAAAGTCGCACCTGTCACCGGCGGCACCATCTCGGGGCAGCAGCACGCACCCGCCCCGCCACACCAGGCCGCCCACCGCACCCATTTTCACGCATCGTTTCTGCCGACAAGGGCGGCATCCAGCCAGCAGACGAAGCCCCGCTGCCTCCGGCATGGGAAGAGGGGTCACGGCTTTTCCCTACTCCCCGTTGCCACCCGGACAGGCCTCCCTGCGCGGGCCAACCCCCGCACCGCCGCCTCCCCGAGGAAGCGCGGCGGCGCCCCGCACGCACAGGCACTGCCGACGGCAAGCCTTCCCAGCGGCCACCTGACAAAGCCGGCTGCCCTCGCCCCTTGTCCCAGCGCAGAGAGAAGGACGTTGCCCCCTCCACCTCTCTCACCACCTCCAGCCGCTGCCTCGCCGCTGTCGCTTCGACACGCACACACACCCCTCCCCATTCCTCGTTGGTGAGGGACGGGGCCGCACTCACCGGATCGGAAGAACGCCGCGATGTCCGCCGAGTCCTTGGCTGCCTCCTCGGCCCCTTCCCCCGCGCCGCTGCCGGCCGTGGTGGCGGCGGAGGTGGCGGTAGCGGCGCTGCTCATGGCTGCTGCGTGTGGCGGCGGCTCCTCCGGGCGAGACCCACCGCCAACCCCACCGCCCCCTCCGCGGATCCCGGCTTCACCTCCGGGCGACAGCGGCCGTTAGGGCGGCAGCCGGAGCGTGCGAGCGATGCAGGGCGGCGGCGGGCAGCCACGGCGAGCGCAGGGACATGAAGGTATGTGCGGAATGGCAGCTCCGGGAGCGCCCACCCCCCGCAGCCACCTAGGAGGCGGCGTGTGCATGCAGGGAGTCAGGGCGGGCGGGCGGGCGGCAGCCGGAGCGCAGACAATCGCGGGAGGAGGAGGGCGACGACGACGACGACGGCATGGGAAGGGCCAGCAGTCCGCTCAGGCAGCACCCGATGGGCGGAGAAAGAAGGATCCGTTCCAGCCTCTTTTTTTCCCTATTTTTTTTTTTTTTCCGAGGGAGCAAGGAGCGAGCCGGAGGAGCAGCAGCTGCGCTAGCCGCCGTGCTGCCAGTGGCCGCAGCAACCGCCGGCCTCCATCTTGGCTGGGAGGCGGAGGAGGAGGGTGGGAAGGGGGAGCCGGGAAAGGAAGCGAGTCCCCGCCCGAGGAACAAGGGTGGCGGGGCGGGGGGGGGGCGATCGGGAATCTCCGGCTGCGTCCGGCGCCGGTCGGCATGGGGCGGGGCGGCACGACGCAGGACGTCAGCGCTCCCGCCGAGACCCCACCCCATTGGCTGGGGCGCGGCTGCCGGGGGAGCCCGGCGGGGGTGGCGCGGGGGTCGCTCGGGGTGGGAGGCGCGGGCGCGCCCGGAGGTCGGTGGTCCGTCTGGCTATGTATTTATGTATTTTATCTGTTTATTTTCAGCCGCTGCCGACTGACTTCCGCCTTCACACGCTGCTGCAGCCCTGCTGCCACAGGTCGAGCCTGGCGGGGGATCCTGAAAAACCCGGTCCGTGCCTCACGCTGCTGCCTCCCGCTGCTCGGTGCGAGGTCACCGCGGCCGGATCGGCGGCTCTCCGGGGGCGTCGTGCCCGCTGAGAGCTCCAATGCCCATTGTCTGGAATGAGGGGCACTTGCGGCTGGAAGGGAAAATAAGCGAGGTGTGCAAATGTTTAGGAGAGGTGCCTTTGAATGCCGTTGAAGCGAGGGTGCTGAGGCACAGGTGTAGGTTGCCCAGAGGCGCTGTGGTTGCCCCATCCCTGGCAGTTTTCAAGGCCAGATTGGATAGGGCTTGGAGAAGCCTGGTCTAGAGGAAGGTGTCCCTCCCCATGATAGCAGGGTTGGAACTAGATGATCCTTAAGGTCCTTTCCAACCCAAACCCTTCTATGATTCTGTAATTGCGATCAATACTGTTGCTGTATTTTCTTTGGTAATCACAGGGACACTTAAAAATATGTTGTGCTGTGGACCAGTCCTATTAACATAAAATATGCAAACAGCTCATGATGGAAAATGTAATCTGGTACTTGGTTAAGGTGCATCTCAGTACAGTCATGCTTTTCATGTTTAACTGTCAGAATAAGATTACGTGCAGGTAAGTTTGTAAAGAGAGTAGCAAAGCAGGCAGTTCATCAGTTGCACAGTTTGATAAAGCAGAGAAGCACATCTCAAATGCTGGTGGTAAATGGTCAAAGGCATTGCTTATTAGCACAGTCGAAATACAGAAGTATAGCTTTAGGAATTAAATTCTAAACCCTTTCATAGGTATTAAAAGCAAAGGTAACTTCAAGACAAATGTGATTCTGTTCATTTATCACAGTCAGATGATGTGGAATTCGTCCACAAGGTTCCTTGTATTTATCTGAAGTTGTACAGCTTGACGAAGAAGCTTTTGTGCTACTACCTCTGCCTAATTTCTCTTGTAAAGAAGAGGTTAGTTTGAAAAGATTTTCTTTTTTTTTTTAATGTTTTTCTTCCAGCCAGTGAGCACAGGAAAAAGCTCCAAATTAGCACCCCACTGACAGAAGTGGCTGCAATGTGACTTCCTTTCTAGCTGGCCTAGCACCATCCACCTAGAAAAGAAACATGACTGGGACAAATGCTGCTGTTCACTAGCAAGCAGTGAGTTGACCTGAGAGTAGGAATAGGGTATTGTACACCCACACAGAAAAGGCTGAATAAGAATGTAAGAAAATTGAATGGGTGAATGGGAAGAGTTAATATAGTGAGTAAAGAAAAATAGGCCTCTTGGAATCTGCATAATTTGAGCTTTCAGTGGCTCGAAAGCAAGAGGTGCTTAAGATCATTTGTTTTCTGAATCTGAATTAAGACTTTGATATGCTGTGCAACATTGGAAAAAAGCTTCAGAAGACTGTTCATTAGCTATTGAAACTAAGATACTGAACGTCTGTTTCCAATTAGTTGTCCATCCAGCATACTGTACAATTAGTCGGTGGGTACTGAAAAGCCAGCGTTCATATAAGCAATACTGAAGGTTATGTGACTGAAGTTTGTCCCTTCCCTTGTTCCCTTCATCTGCTGAATTGCAGGAGATGCTGGTTTTGTATTATTCTAACACATAGATGCCCTGAGGCATGTCCTCCACCATGAGAGCTGCTCGTAAGGGTGAAAGGGATTGAGATCAACTAGCTGCAAATTGGAATTCTTCACTTGCAGCAAAGGTGGCCCTTACAGAGAGAACTTAGGCAGCCAAATATGCCCATATCCTTTGCAGCATTCAGAAGCATTATTGCAATACAGTTGTGTTCACACTAATGTTCAGGATGTAAGTTAAAAGAGAGAGACAAAAATAGAAAAATGACGTTATGACAGAGTTACTTAACACACTAATAAAACAAGGCTTTCATTTGCAGGTATCCACCTTAGATATCAAATACAAGATTTAATATTTTGACATTAGGAAGTTATGTTTCTTAGTCTTGTTCTTCTTGATCACTTTAGGCTTGAAGCTTAAAAAAAACCCAACTAAGATATGAATTATCTATGTAGAGAACGTTGCACATTGAAAAGTTGCGTGAGTGCTTGAGTTTACTTACTTTGGAAGCCTGTCATTAGGGATTAGCCATATTCTCCATCCTCAACTCCTACTTTGCCTGTGTCATTTTTTGTCAGCCTGCAAGTGTTTTTGCAGCAATTGCATTGGTAAGTGCAGGAAAGGGAAAAGTATGACTTTTCATGTAAAAGATATTTTAAGGGTGCTGTGACTTGCTAACTATCAGTAGTGTTAAGGCCAAGATTCAAATTATGATTTTTAAAAACTAAAGATGCATGCCTAATTTCTGTATCTACTTTTTACACATGTATAAAAACATTTAATTTTACATAAGCAAATCATTCAAAAAGATTTATACCCCAGTAAAATAAATGCCATAAGGGAAGTGTTATTTTACTTGAATGACCATTATTTTTCCTTGTATTGTGTATTATTCCTGTTAAATGGTCACTCTGAATCAGTGTATCAATGCACAAATATCTTTATTCCTGTCATAAAAGGTCTCTTGTGAGGAAAGAAGCTTGCCTAGTGTCTAACCTTCAGCATCTGGGCTGAGAACTGTCACATGTCACTTCATGTTTCATCCCTAAAGGAATACACAGGCTGGATACTGCTTGAGTTCTTTTCCTGCAGCATTCACTGTCCACTTAACAAAGAAAAAAAAAACAAAACAGTTTGCCCCATTTCTATGGGACAACTGCTTGATTTGAAATCACATATTTACAAGCTTTCAGGAGAAGTAAACTAGGAACTCATTAGTTTGAACAAGCTACCAGACAGGATATCATACTGGCCTTGGTGGTCAGTCAGAGTTGTCTCCTTGCTCAAAAACAAAAAAAGGCTTACATGATTATAAAAAAAAAAAAAACCCACCCAAACAAAAATAAAAAAATCCACCTCAAAGAACACAAAACGCACCTAACATTCAGGTTTTTACAATGGAGTTATCTTCTCCATTGTTGACAAGCTTTACTGTAAATTTCACAAACCGAAACACAGGACATGCAAGAGAGTAAGTTCAAGACTTCCATGTCGAAAATGCTTGAAGGGAAGATGCACGTGGATTTCTCTTTACCCTAGAAGAACTGCTTCTTACAAACATTATCTTCCTGCAGTAGGCTTTCATGGGGTTCCAAATCTGTAAAACAGAACAGAATCAGTTGCAGTAAGTAGTAGAGAAGGCCATACCAGTTGCTGCTGTGCTTTTAAGATGACAAAGCTTCTTTTAAGTTTGTAGCAGTTAAGGAAAGTAATCAAAGTTATTAATGTGTACTACCTCCAAGTTGCTGTCTGTTTTCTGATCTAAATGGTGTTTTTGTTACAGCAACATTTGTCAATTTCAAATTATTCTCCAAGCGCAAGATACATCTCTTTTATCTGCAGACTAGCACTGAGGCACTTTCCAACTGTTATCATTATTATCTCCCTCTTTCCTGCAGAAGCATCCATGTCTTTTTGAAAAGTTGTCTTGAACTGCGCTAAGCCTACGTGCTCCACTTCCTTATGCTGTAAAATCAAGTTCTAGTTTCAGTGTATGAGTTCTGGCAGCTTTTGAAACTTCTGCCTTTGCCCCTTCTTTTTATTTTTGTTTCTACTTTTCTGAAAAGCAGTAAAAGTTTTTAATATCTGATAGCAGATGAGCCACCTATCACGTATGTAAAATATTGCCAGCCTACTTAAAAATAATTTTCCATACTTTCACTGGTAAGACCTTCCACATTGTTCCATTTCTTTATGTACTTAGAGCAGTACTGCCATCAGGACATAATATTTCACAGATCCTCGGCACCTGCAAGGAGAGGTTTAGTGCACTTTAAGTAAAAGCCTGTAGAGACAGCATTTGATGGTCACTATGGCTGAAATCTACTGTTTATGTGGTCATGACTGTCAAGTCTTAAGCAAAGAATCAAGCAGGTTTTTAATAACCTACAGACCAACTTGTGTGTTTTCACATATCACTTACCAAAAATGTTAACCATCCTGATTTTATTTATAGCCAAACCACATTTTTTTAATTTCTCACCATTTCAATGATGTGATATCTCTATAAAAATCCAGCTCCCAGTTCTGCTACATGGCATGTACTGACTTGTCGATGTCAGGGACACTTCTGTTATGTGTAGAAATTCCACCAGCCGTCTGATGTTTTATAGACTACTGGTGGTCTATACACCATCTGTTGACTAACCTCAGTCTAATGAAGTGTTGGCTTTTCTTTTTACACTTAAACACTCATAATGCTATATTATTATACAATTATTGGTGGCTGAACCATGTGGTTGCATCTCAGACAAGTCATCCCATTGCGTTTGCTATCCAGGTTTTTAGAAAAACTTGTTCTCTTCATAAGGAAGTATTCATACACATAAATGGACACACACATGCACACCTTAATTTCAGATTTTCTATCACTATCATTAACACTGAAGCCATACTGAACCTTCAAAGAGTACTTCCTATTTATCCAAGATGTCCTAGCAGAAATATGTGTGGTGCTTCAGTCTTTCTGAAAGAATTGAACTTACTATGCCTGGTTGAAAATAACATGCCCATTCATTATAAAGCTCCCAGCCTAGCATGATCATATCCAGAAATCCTAACAGTCAGACAGTGCATGCTAAAGCCTCTATGGGTGATTTACTCCTCCTTTTTAATCAGTTATCCTTGAGGTGGCATGACCTTTATTCTGCTTGTAAAAAAACATTCCTTCTGATATCCTGCAATATGGTCCTCACTCTACAACAGCTCAAATTACATATTCTTGATCATCTAACATTGTCATCACTGAATTTTCAAAGACTAGGTTTTGATTAAGATAGGGTTCCATATAACTAAGGAAGAGGGATGTGGAGTTTTTTTCTTGTGCATGGGCTCCTGTCAAGATTATATTGCCAACACTATCAACATCTGCGTATGTATGATTACTACTGGACAGTATTCCAACATCATGACATTTTATGCAATGAAGGCATCATTGGCAATTTATTTGATCATGTTATACAGATAGCTTGTGCAGGAGCAGCCTCTGTCCTTCATGCCTAAAAAGCACTAGCGTGTCCACAGACAAAAGTGCACTGTACATACGGAAAAAAATGTGTATCTTTAAACACTGACTGGTGCTTTGTATCGTTGTGATGGACACTCAGGAAAATAGGTCACCAATTAAGCTAAACTATTACACTAGTGATTGCCAATAAATCAGCAGACAGTGTTATGTTATGACACTGATCTATACCAAGGGGTTTGATGCACCCCATACTATATTTATGAGAAAACAGTTCACTTAGTATCAAAGCGGTGTTAAGTCCAGTTGACAATTATCCTTCTGCTTTAATGATAATAGTCTGTTAATTGTACTGGCTTGCCTATAGTCAGTTGTCAAAACAGTGTGCAAGGATTGGCACAGAGCAGCACACAAAAGCTGTGTGGAAAACAGAATTGTATTTTATGAGCTTAGACAAAGTAAAGTCGATCAAAAATGAAGCTTAAAACAAATGGCATCCTGCTTCAAAAGTTGTTTTCTAGAAGAGGACATTTATATCAGTTCTGCTGCTTGTGTACTTGTGTGCATGTATCTCCATCAGCATGCCAGTTTATAGTTGCCCAGATTGGAAAGCATCTTGAATGCCTATGTCTGTATCACTTCTGTCAATCAGTATCTTATAACAGGGATTGAAGAAATTTGAGTAATTGCTTATGCGACAAACAAACCAAAAATGCAAAAGTCCTTTTCGATACACAGAACTGAATTACAGTTTGAGTCATTTAAAAACTGTCAAATGTCTAAAAAAATATTTACCATAATTTTGCATCTGGTGCTAGGGAGTTAGTTTTGATAGCAACCTATGTAACTCATGGGGTTTTTGAGTTTATATGATTTAAGTCTTCATGGGTTGATGGTTCCCCAAGAATGCACTCAGTGTCCTGCCTGGCTCTACTGCTTTGAAAGTAGAATAGAGGTTTTTCAGCCAGGTGATACAACTGGACCTTGAGGATTTCCAGGTTCATTTGAGAGCTCAATAAAGAGGCACTTCCAAGACATCCAGGATTTTCAGTCAGATCATCAGTAAAGGCTGTTCTAGTAGATCTAGGCTGAGTACCCAAAAAGATCCCACAGATCTGCTTGATTTCAAAAGAATAGATTTGATCAGAAAAATGCTTTCCAAATTCCAAAGGAGTCTTGAGACCCATGGCATGGTTCCCTAGTACCACCAGCTGCTGCAAGAGGTGATCTCTGATATCAAAGCCACATTTTGCAATCTAATTCGCTATTTCCAGGTATGTACATTTACAATACGTTTCCTCCTTTCCCTTGATTTTATCAAGACTTTGTCTCCAGGTTGATCCTTTTAGCATGTCCTTCACTTTATGCAGATATCTCACTATTGCCCATGGTCTCTATACATAATATGTGGTTTGTTCAGATCAGTAAGTGATGGTTTTGCTTAGGGAGGTCAACCTCTAGGTGAGGATTTGTCATTCCTTAGTACCAGTTGGCCAGTATTCTCATCCTGGTTGATTATGTTATTAGCTAGACAGTAGCAACAGATGCCATTCCTCACATTGCTTAGTCTTAATGAATTTTGTGAGGGTGCAAAGTCATGAGCTGCCAGGTTTGCCCTCTTCCAGGAGCTGCTGAGATAGGAAAGAACTGACCAATGCAGAACAGAGTTTCCTAGT